CCCTCCCCATCTCCCGCTCTCTCTCATATCATCCTAAAAAGTAACAGAAGAGCCACAAGCCACTCCGTGGTGCTCTAAGATGAACCATTTGGATGCTGTCGTACCCCTGTCGCTTCTCCATTTCATTGCCAGCACCAGACACGAGACTGTGAGGGCCGCGTTCAGAGGAAATGTCACCATGTCCCTCTAAGAAGCTCATTTTTCCCAGGGCCACATGCTTATCAGAAACTGGGTCTTGTTTTTCTCACTTCCTCTATTTTTTCTTTCTCTCTGCCCCTTTCCTCCCTAACTCCTACACCTAACATGTCTCTGCAGTCCCTAAACCAATATGTTCCTTCCGGCCTGCCTGACAGGAGGAGCTGGGGAGGACGGCTTTATTTAAGGACACTTGTGCAAGGCTCAGAGTATGACATCAGACTTTTAAACGTCCAGGGAAGGCAGAAACGGTATTCTTGCTATATCTCCCGGGCTCCGCAGGAAAGTGGCCACTGAAGTTATGTTCTCACTTATTACTATGTTTAAACCTAGCTACTGAAATAGGATTCCTCAGATGATGGGAGAACTATGGGCACATGGCAAGCATCATGCAAATGCGTGGCTTCTGTGGAAGTGCTCATGCACTGGGGCATGTTATCTGGAGGGGGCCGGTCTTTGGAAAAAGTTGCCACGCTTGGTAAAACAGAGAGCCAGAGAAGGGGAGGAAGACCCTCAATGAGATGGACAGACACTGTGACTGACAATGAGCTGAAGCAAAGCAGAGATTGTCAGGATGACACACAATGAGACCAGGTTCCGTTCAGCTGAATCCAAGAACATTTTTGGCCCACCAAGGTCTAAAATCCCAAGGCCTTTTTGTTGTTTTTGCCTTCCAGAAAAGATCTCAAGGAAGCTACCTAGATTTTAAACACATATTTTCAAGGGGAAACTCTGGTTTGATTCATCTTCTTGCTGGAGAGGCTGTGATTCCACCCCCCTCCATCCAAATAATCAGGAGTGGCATCCACTTCCTAAATAACATGCCTCTGGAAACTCTATGAACTTTGATAAATGTCGACAACTGTAGAGGGGCTTCAGGCCTTTCGTTCATAGGGTCACTATGAGCAGTGCTCGACTGGAAGGCAATCAACACCACCACCAACAACAACCAAAAAAGAACTATGAACTGAGGCTGCTTCTGCAAAGGGAATTGGTTGGTAAGCGGCTACCATAATGGAACATTTTTACACCAAAGATTCCACAAAAAAATTCTTATCAAAGGGAGGGGGGAAATGTCAAAGAGAATGTTCACTGAATCCTGACTTTTTGGAGTTATAAAAGACTGGATGAGCCCCCAAAATAAATGCCCTGGGATAATCGTTATATTTTCAGTCAAAAAGATCCTGTAAACGTTTCTTAAAAACCAAACGTGCTTTAAGCTTAATGTGCAGAACTGTCTACTTTGAGCACTGCACTCTTTTAAGAACTCGCCAACTGACAAGAGAAATCAGAAAGATCAGCTAGGACCTTAAGGGGTTGAGGAGATTACCTGCACAGAGGAGGAACAACTCAGAAAAGGAGGGGAAGAACGGTGGCACAGCTGGGAAAATGCGCTCGATCACCTACCTCTGCAGGACCTGTGAAATGGTCTACGTTCTGCTGAGGACCTACTCAACAACAGATATAAATGATAAAAATCCCGCTGCCATCAAGTGGGTTCTGATTCAACTGCTGCGACTGTGGCGGAGTCCCATCAAGGTGTGGAACCAGCCCACAGCGGACCCTCCAGTGGGGTTTCACAGGCAGCCAACTGCATGGAAGGAGACTGCCCATCTTTCTCCTGTGGAGCAGCTGATGAATTAGAACCGGGGGCCTTTTGGACTGCAGCACAATGCCCTCCCACTCAGCCCTATCAGGTTTTCTGAGGCTATCAACCATGCTTTTGTCAGATGATGCCAACCTTCTGGCTAGCCCAGGGTTGGATGACATACACACATATGTCATATATCCTTATGTGTGTATAAAAATTACAGATACATACCAAATGGAGGAAGGGGGAGGCGGGTGGTGGTGTTTGAATTCTAAGTCTCTTGTAGGTTGGCTGGGTGGGAGCAGGGCGTGAGGAGTCTGGTGAGAATACAGCTTTGACTTCATGCTGTGTTTTAAGACTGGGATCCCAGACAAGGAACTCATGAAATATTATATAAAATGGGTGACCCTGGAGGACATTATGCTGAGTGAAATATCTCAGTCACAAGAGGACAAATACTGCATAGTGCCACTGCTGTAAAATGGGACTGACATCAGGGTTGGGGGCAGACTGAGTAAGACAGGATAAATGATGTATACTGCTTTGAAACAGATGAGAAAACTTTAAAATGGATATACGATTAGGTATTATTGTCATGACAGGAGTTCAGAACGAAGGCTACATAGTGGAGTGGATTGGGGGGGGGGGCAGACTGTATAATAATGGAAGAATTTTTCTTTCACTTTTCAAAGACAAAAGCGAACTAAGGGGAGGGATGGGCAGGGAGAAAAGTGCAACAGTGAATGAATGGAAATCCAAAGTCTCTGTAAACATTCATTTAAATTAATAATAATAATTTAAAAAATTAATAGTCATAATAATAAGAGTTTGGGAGCCCAGGCTGGGTGGTCTAGGAAAGTCAGGACAAAAAGAACTAGTAGAAAAATGCTCGCTAGTGGCTCCAATTTGACCCGCATCAATTCGGCATCACAGGGCATGCCTGCCCCTAAGCTTTTCTTTTTTGGAACCTTTGCAAGAACAGATCTTCTGTACAAACTCATTCTACCTTTCCGTTATCAGTCAAGCGCTTAACCAGCATGCCACCAAAGGACTGTAAGTCAGCCATACCGATCTTATTATATATAATCTTACGAGTATAAACTATGAGGGGCAAAGGCCTTAAAACTTAGACTGCTTCGGATAATCACTTGGTTCCCCCCATTTCCTTATACTAATCAGAAAGAAAACTCCAAATCTGATATGAAAAACTAACTAAATTACTCAAAAGCCCACTGCTCTTCAGTTAGAACTGCCTCATCACTGCTCTTCCATGGGGTTTTCAAAGTTGTAAATCATACAGGAGACTGCCCATCTTTCTCCCTCAGAGCAACTGGTGGATTCAAACCACCCACCTTTGGGCTGGCATCTCACGCCCTTATCCATGAGGACTCCAGAGATCCCTCTACTGATCAGAAATAAAACTCCAATTCTGGCACTAAACACTCAATTACAGCCTGTTTGTTATAATTCAAAGAGCACTTTGCTAGGGGAGCTCTGGTGGCCTAGTGGCAAGAACCTGCAACTACAATCCCAGAGGCGCACGGTTCGAATCCACCAGATGCTCTGCCGGGGAAGGAGGGACAATTTCCTCCTGTACCAGTCAGATCTGATTTGACGGTACACTCACGCAAAAATAATAAAAATTTTTTTTAAAAAAAAGAACAGTTTGCTTAGGGAGCAAGGGAAGAGACCAGGATTTCCATTTAGAAATACTGCTGGTGGAGACTCGAGCGAGGGCTACATGGTGGAGGGGACCTGGGGGAGGGTTTGTAAAACAATGAAAGAATCTTTTCTTTTACTTTTCCATAATTTTTGGACTCATGTACTTATAACTTGTTAGTCAAATTTGTGTCTTCTAGGTTGCAACACCTCCATGATACATCTTCAAAGATATGAACATGTACGGCCAAGCACAATCAATAAGAGTACATCTAAATTCCAAAATCAATCTCCATAATAGTCTATGTGTTTCCTACTGCCAAGGGGGCCCTTTAGAGTAGTGAGAGAAGATCTTCACCCTGAAACCCACAGCGTCCCTTTTCAGCAGGAAGTAGCTAAGAGAACACGCCATCCCCTTTTCCTTATGACTCAGGGTGAAGTCTCTCTCAGGGAGGAGTCATAGGGAATGGCAAAGGACACACTGACAAAGAAGATTAATCAGAACTGGCTTTGACAAGCACTGTGGCAATTGGACAAGAACAAACTGGGAGGAGGGTAGAGAGAATAGTGCAACAATGAATGAATGGAAACCCAAAATCTCTGTAAATGTTTATGAAAATTAATAAAATATAATTATAGAAGAAATACTGCTGGTATTGTCATAGAACCCTCACCTGCAAGACAAGGCATCTGGCCCCACCAAGTGACCCTCTGGACGAGGATGTGGCCAGAAAGTAAAAGGAGTCCAGAGCACCAGCGTCTCAAAACGATGATCTGAGGTCCAGTGGTTGCCACTGTCAGCAATGACTGGACTGCCTAGGTGTTGCACAGTGACAGATCGACTGTCCTGATAGTCTGACTTGAACAAGAAGAAAGCAGTGGTGTCCCTCTCAAAGACGGCGACCCACCACACTGCTCTGAACGCAGGGTGCTTTCCAGGATCCTGGCAATAGCCAATCCCTTGCATCAGCCTCTGCAGACTCTCCAAGGAGAAGACTTTTGAGAACACATCATTACTCACAAGACCTCGGGGTGCCCAACACACTAACAGGGCCTGGCAGGCCACCGCCTCCAAACAGGGCATCACTGGTTTCTGCTCAGTGCTCACTGCCACGGAGCTGGTTCCGTGGTTCCCAGGGACCCCTCCACTGGATTTCCGAGGCCATAAATCTTCATGGGAGGGGACTGCCCATCTTTCTCCCATGGAGTCATGGATGTATCATAACCACTGGACACATTCGGCCATTGCATTTAGCCGTGCAACAGGCAGTGAACCACACCCACCAGAGTCTTGTCTGTTTTTTCTACATGGTTCTAATGACTACATGCCACAGGTCTGGTTGCTATGCAATGTGTACAGGGCCCCTGTTTACGACAGGCGTGAGTTAAGCATTTCTAACCGGCGTGAAGCCCTGGAGAGAAGGATGAAAGAAAGAAAGCCAACTGAATCCCACTTTCAGGCACTGCTGCCGTCCACGCTCTCGGCTGTAGCCACCTACCCACACGATGTGGACGGGAAGACGTCTCAGAGGTGTGCTAGTGTGTATCTACTCACTGTTTCGCGGGTGCCAGCGTACAGCATTCAGGTAGGAGTTGCAGTAATGGAAGAGGAACTCATGATCTGACTGTTGCGTTTCTCCCAGGAGCAGAGGCATCAGGTCCCGTCCATCAATGATCCTGTGTTAAAAAAACAACAGGGCCATCAGGCAGGGGGCAGCCACATCTCCTCGGGACTGGAACATCCTCACGTCTGATGGCCTTTCCCAGCAAATGAACCATGTCAGCCTTCACGGAGCGGTCCACACGAAGAACGTGGACCAATTCTACTGGCCACCACCTTTTGTACATTCATCCCACCTCTGCTCAACTCATCAAACCCTCCAGACAGCACTCTGAGATGCTGTCTCATCTCCAATGTACAGGTAAGAAAACAGATACAAGAAGTCCAAGCAAGTAAACCAAGGTCACAGCACGAGAAAGAGTTGACGTGGCATTCATCAATCAAGCTCTATCCACTGGTTCTTGGAATGCCAATTTTTCTGCCTACCGCACTGTCAAAGAAAACATTTCATAAAGCAAAGATCTGCTGGAAATAAGGGGACCTGAATAATAGGTTCAAAAAGAGAGGATGTACAAACAGGGTTGCCATGAGCTGGGATCACATGGACATCAATGGAAGACAAAGTCTAAATCAGAACAAAATCATCTGTAAATAAGAAAGGGGAAGCTATTAACGCAACTTGGATGGACTGAACCCCCGCAGACGTATCTCACCTTCTAGCAGGCATCCAGTACGTATGCCAAAGCTTTCCATGGACAATGAAAACAAAGACAGAAGGCGAGCCAGTGCAGTGGAACTACAGTGCTGGCCAAGAATTCGAAAGAGACACTCAACTGCTAGAGGACTAGAAAGAGCAGTCCCAGATAGCATACCCGGAAAAGGCTCTTCACAAGTCAGGATGGAAAGATGTGGCCATCCGTGAAAACCCAGCACGAGAAAAGGATATTGTCTCGTGTGAAGGGTTCGTCAAAACGTAGGAAGCCCTCCATGAGATGGATGGACACAGTCCCACAATGGGCCCTCACACCCCTTACAGTGAGGGTCACAATGCATCATTTCTTGTTTTCCAGCATGTTGGATGCCCAGGACAGACTATGTTAATAGGATACTATGACGTGTATCCAAACAAAGGACACGTTCCAACAATGCTCAGTCACACCTCTTGCAGTGAGGATCAGAGCTAGGGATCCCACACATCAATTCTTCTTCCGTCTTCCCTCTGCTGTCCAGCATGTCGGATGTTCATGAGAGAATACGCCAACACGGTAACATTCCATGCTCACCACTCTCACTTGCGCACGACTTCATTCCGGTTTAGACATGATTGTTCACTTCGGTCTAGCCCGTTCCAGGCAACACACTGCTCTGTGGGCATCAGGGCGCCATGAATCACAGCCCTGGGTCTCCTCTGGCAGTGAGTGACTCGGGACCCACTGGAGACTCCCTGGCAGGTGGATGAGACAGGCACAAGCTCTGTGATGAACAAACAGCAGGGCTCAGAGTGGGAGAAAAGCAAACATCTGAACTGGCTCTGAGTTAAGCATCAGCTCACAGGTATTTTAGAAACAGCGTGGCTGCCCCCAGAATGGGGAGCGTCTGCAGATAAACAGCCAGGGCGTTTCTGCATGTGGGTTTCCAGTCTCTGATTAGAAGCACTCCATCCTGTCATCTCCTCAGATCAAGGCCTTCAGAAAGTGCCCTGGAGCTCGGCCCTGTGATGTGGGGACCCGCCTGGGAGACGCCGAGCCCTCAGAGGGTTATTTTGGTGAACGGGCACCTCAGCAATCTAACTGCAGCTCGTGGCCCAGCACTCCTCAGGCCTGGTCATTAATCATGCCCACCACAGGGTCCCACGGATGGAGAATATTCTATTATCACAAGTTAAAAATAAGAGTAAAAGACAGGCTTGGATGGCTTCCCGAGCTGCAGCGGCTTCCATGTGTTCCCCAGGCCCAAAACAGAAGGAGAGAGGTGGCAGGCACGGGTCTCTGTAGATACAGTGTGGTCCCTGGAATGCCACATCCACTCACAATGTTGGCATCGTGTATGACACTCCTTTCCAGACGGCTTCCAGCCTTGACATACAAGCGTCCAGAAAGGGATGAAGGAAAAAAGGAGAGACGCGACTGGTAGAAGGCAAGAGGGTAGCGGACCCCCATAGAGGAAAAGGATTGGGCGACCAGGATACAGGGAGAAGGGGATCATCTCTGACACACTCGAACACGTGGCTTCAGCCACTTGAGTCAGTTCACCTGGTGGAAGGTCCTCCTCTCCTTTGCTGGCCCCTCCACCTTCCCAAGCATGATGTCTCTCTCCAATGAATAGCTTCTCCTACCAACACCCGACGGTATTTATAATCCTCAGTTGCCATTTCCGTATTTTTTTCTTAAAAAAAAATTTTTTTAAATTTTTTATTTTTT